ATTGCAAACGTTTTCAGACTATAACGTTCAAATACACTAATAAACAAACAATGATAAAAGCCAAAATTTTTATTCGTATTGTAAAGAGTACTAATACTAAAATACTTATACTAGTAATTTGATGTATCAAAAACGATACTTCAAACAATGGGCAGTGGCGCAGTAAATGGCAGCCGTATACTATGTGTCGTTTTAGCCCCGGACACGATCCTTAATGAATTAGATAGATCGTGTCCGGTACAAATATATAATTGAAACTCTGTAGTTCCTTTTCCCTTGGCAGCACTCATATAATAATAATTACCTTGATGAGTGTAAATAATCTAGGTTCCACCAATTTGAAAGTAGCTGAGAGGTTATGAGTAACAGACATTTCTCAGGTTAAGGATAGCTACCCTCTTGCGGCATATAAAAATTAGGTAGTTACCCACTTACAGCTATGCCGTATGTATTTCATGTTCTAATATCTGCATCCTCAGCATTAACCTAATTAGTCGCGGATGTCTACACCAGAAGTCATGAAATAGAAAAAAAAAAAGATATGATCCGAATTTCACAACATTAATACGATCCAACTTTTTTATTGCATTGTTTATGACCGCCACCAGTGTTTAATAACAAATAAGCTTAAATATTTTTTTTTATATCAGAAAAAAGCTTAGCTTCTTATTTAGAAAAATTTGTTTTTTGAAAACATCCATTTATCACTATCACAAAAGTTGAGCTGACCGAGTTTGTATACTTGTATAAATACTTCGCATAAGTAAACGGAATAAACGGATAACAAATTTTTAATTTGAAGTATTTCAATAGCAGTGTCGCCGCTTTCATCATTAATAGTAGACAGTATTATTCATGCACATTGATTGGACGAAGCTATACTGACTTTATTTATGCAGACTTCTAAAAGTTTAAAAGTACTGGGACTGCGCCCGAATATTTGTGGCATCTTATTTTGGACATAGGACCGTTGTGGTACCATTGTAGGATGTATATAAAGCCGTGTAATGAAGGTATGTCAGCTGATATCGAAGTGATCAGTCACACCATACTTTTGTTCGTCTCATTTTTGGGAATCGCCAAGCACAATTTACTTCCAAGCGTATGGACTACCCGGAAAATCTTTCTTCTCGATCAGGACCCAGTGCATCATCTTTAAGTAATAATATTAGAAACGCAGATGCCGCAACAGGCGTTCCAGGGCCGAGCTCTGGTGGGTTGAGCAATTCAACGTATCGCATAAATGCCAATGGAGGGTATCCATCATCAAATATGGTATTTTAAACATCTTTAATTCCCGGTAATTTGTGTTCTTACCGTTGCTTATAAAATACTGATTTCTGGCTCTGTTTCACATTGTAGATGTCTGGAAGATGTATGTGCTGTAATAGGTAAGCTTTTAAACTTTTCATGTTGCTTTTTAAATTAGCAATTCTAATTTAACATTTAGGAATTCTTATTATTCAGCAATTTGCGCTTTCCTAGATCAGTCTCTTGTTTTCGTTGTACTGTTTGCGAGACGATCAATGACCTGATAATAACACCACGTAGTATGTAATCTATTGTTAAATACAGGCTGAAAATTGATTTGCTCTTATGTGGTGAATCAAAGTTTTAAAAACTCGCAATCATAATAAACATCTCCGGTTTTTTTTTTTTACTCAAAAGACGAACAAATCAATCCCCTTACGTTGGATAGAATTCGAAAATTGATTAGCTATTATGGCGGTCCAAATTATGAATTATTAGAACAGGAAATCCAGAAGGCATTTTCTAGTTGGCCTATATTGAATGAAAGTTTCAGCAATGTAAGGCTGCAATTTAGTCTATTATCAATTTTTAATAGCATTTATTGAATATTTGTTAACTAATGCTATTTGATTAATATTTTCTCTTAATTCATGACAATGTATGATATTTAATTCATTTTTATTTGGTCCGTAAAGGGGAGGCCGGTTACTTTAGATGACTGTGGGGTTGCATTGGATCAAGTTAGGGAAGCATATCGAATCTTGATGGATTTGGTATGATATAATTTTAATAATTAAGGAATTTATCACTAAAATAGATGGTATTTAATTTCTTCACATTTTGTTTGTTAGCCCGTAAATATCATAAGAGCAATGATGAGATCAATCGAAGTCATACTAAAAAGACCTGGAAGGTGTGTATTTTTACTGATTGAAGCAGCAATGTAATATTTTAATATAAACTAATTTCCTTATTATTTGCTTGGAAAAAGAATGTTGAAACGAAGAGAAGATATTAAATTTTTAATGATAATTCTAGAGGTTTGCAAATTTGTATGAGTATTTGCTAATTAGTTATCAATTTAAATTTTAATTATATTTAATTTCCTCATTTAAATTTTTATTATATTTTATTTTTTATTTTAGAATCCACTTCTTTCCCAGCATATTTTCCCTCAAGAGTCGGAATATCATCATAAAATTGTACAAAGTGTTTTCGGTCTACTATCCAATTTGAGTAATGAACTGCATCACTATCTAGTAAACTGGTTTGCGCGGTAAATAAATTAAAAAAAAAAAAAAAAACTTTCATTCAGGTTAATTAATACGTTTTTCATTTATCTTTTTTCAAAAAAACTTAGGCATTCAACGGACATATTTCGGAAACGTGTTGAACTTGTTAATTTATTTATATCTTCTAGGCTATCAAAGCATCAGAGAGCTACTGGGCGGGGTGGTCCTCTAGCTTATGAATCAGATTGGCAAATTAACTCTGCGGCCAGAGTAATGGCGTTGTTTTGTATGTATTCATGCCCTTGTATATACAAAAATATTAACTCGAATATTAAACTTTCACATTTTGAAATTTTGAATTGCTCAGTTGCTGCGAACAAACAACAGAAAAAAATCCAAATATCAGAGTTTTACAATACAATGGTAGATTACATACCGTTACTAGAAGATTTTAATACATGGGAACAACGCTCTGGGTTAGTATAATCTTTTTATATGTGTTTCTGGATAATACTGAGTAATAATTTTATACTCATATTCAATCATTATAGGAAATTTACATTTTGCCAATATCCATTTCTGGTAAGCATGGGTGGGAAAACATCGATAATGGAATATGATGCAAAACGGCAAATGGAAACAAAAGCGAAGGTGTGTTTAGTGTATTTTTTTTATGCCTGACTAAACGAAATGAGGATACATTTATGAACCTTAGTTTTTTTAGGAAGCAATTTTCTCACTTCTATTTCAAAAACGAGCTGCAACACCACATTTGATACTAAGAGTTCGAAGGGACTATTTAATCGAAGATTCATTAAGTCAAATTTCTGAAAATGAAATGGAACTGAAAAAATCACTTAGGATAGAATTTGTTGATGAAATTGGAGTAGACGGTGGTGGTCTTCGAAAAGAATGGTTTTTATTATTAGTGAGACATTTGTTTGATCCACGATATGGTGAGTAATCAATATATCATGAGCTAATAGATTAATTTCAAATCATAATAATGATAGTAATGATGATATTATGTAGCCATGTTCACATGGGATGAAGACTCCAAGCTTTGTTGGTTCAATCCTGCTAGCTTTGAATCGAGTGATCAGTTCTATTTGGTTGGCGTAGTGATAGGTCTTGCAATTTATAATTCTACAATATTGGATGTACATTTTCCATTGGCATGTTATAAAAAATTGTTTAATATGCCCGTTGGGTTGGAAGATTTAAAAGAATTTCGCCCGGTAAATAACTTTTAAAATCTTTATTGCGTTCACTGAATTTTAATAAAAGGTTTGTTGGTAAATCATGACTTCTTTTATTCTTTTTTAGGCACTTGCAAGAGGATTGGATCAACTTCTTAAGTTTGAAGGTGATGTTGAATCTACTTTTTGTCGAGATTTTGTTGGTGAATACGAGGCGTTTGATGATATAAAAAGGGTTCCTTTGATACATAATGGACAGAATATACCGGTAACCAACGATAATAGGAAAGGTAAAGTACTACAAATATTAATAGAATCAACTTACTAATTTACGAGCATAAAGTTTACTTATATATGTATTTTTTTATTATAAAAAGACTATGTTGATAGATATGTAAATTTCATACTGAATGATTCAGTTGCTAAACAGTTTGATCCATTCAGACGTGGATTTAATCATGTGTGTAGTGGTAATGCATTGTCGGTATGTATAAAACGTTATTTCTCGTTTCGTTTATTACACTTTTTTTTTTTTTTTTATAAAATTTAAATTTGTTTTTATATATATATTTTTTTTAATACCAAAGCTTTTTCAACCTGAAGAAATCGAACTTTTGGTCCGTGGTAGTGCAGAACCGTTGGAGATTGAGCAGTTACGCTCAGTAACAGTATATGAAGGATTTCGAGAGGATGAAGCTACCATAATAAATTTCTGGGCCATTTTTAAAGCTATGGATCCTATGATGCAACGCAAATTGCTTACATTCGTGACAGGAACTGATAGGATACCTGCTACAGGATGTGCAAATTTGAGCTTTAAAATATCATATTATGGAGAGGATAGCGAAAGGTATATAGAATTTAGCAATCAGAATTTATTAAATCATAATACTTACCGTTTCTTTTTTGAAATAAATCTTTTATACAGATTTCCAATTGCGCATACTTGTTTTAATCAAATTTTTCTATATCGATATCGTACGAAAAGGAAATTGGAAGAAAAATTGATAAGAGCTATAACGGAAAGCGAAGGATTCTTTTTAAAATAACTAAATACGACATTATTATATGAAAATAGCCAAACATTTTATTACCCATTCCATCTCGTCACTCATTTAATCCCGTCACTCATTTAATCCCGTCGTCTAAAATACTGAGATTTTATATATAACGAAATTTCGGTTTTACATATGACGTTCGACGTTAAAGGAGGGTAAATGAATGGTGTTAACTATTTTTCACATTATATCCTTGTACTTATAATCCTCCTTTACATGCCGCATTCATTAGATCACTAAGACGTTCATTATGTCTCTCTTTTCTAATTAAATCAATAAATATATATGTATTATTAATCACAAAAGAAATTTATAATATCAGATATGTACATGCGTACCAATTGGGCGACAATCAGTTATCAAGTAGTACATATGCTTTATTCGATTTGTTTTATCGTTATACAAATCGAAATTACATTTTAAATAAAGCTATTCGGGATGATGATTTACATATCGATATAATTTGAATTATTATTATTATTTTTAATGACATTAGTAGTTTTGGTTCGTGGATAAGACAATACAAAATAAATGAAATTTCGGGTGTTATTTCAAGGAATGTTCATATGATTGAACAATACAGTATTATTAACATTCGCTAAGGCCCCAGTAAGAATTGTTTACCAAACTTTAAAAGAGATGAATAGTATAGAACTAATTTCTAGCTCTCGAAAATTATCTTAAAATCATCTTAAAATAACTCTTCGAGGCGTGCAAATATGGTAAAAAATACAATACATTATACGTACCTTTATGTTTATGTAATACATATAAGAACTTATTAATTTTAAGATAAAAAAA